TTCGATTCCCTCCCCCATCCCCCCTGGGGGGGAAGTGAGCAAGCGGCTGTGTGGTGCTTAGTTGCCGGCTGAGGTTAAGCCACAACAGACCTCAAGAGTAACTCCAGGGTTATGAGGGTGTTCTTGATCATGATGGTGAAGGGAAAGCCTTGGAGGAGTGGATGGATCTTATGGGTCAACACTTGGTTGTGCCTCTAGTGTTGTTGACAGAGGTTTGACTTTTATGACCATGGGGCCCTCTTTGAGGATCAGGGACTGCTGTGGAGAGATGGGTTCCACCTGACAAAGTAAGGCAAAAGTGTTTTTTTGCCAACAAGCTGGCCCTGAGTTAATCAGACCAGCGTGGGGGAACGTATACGTGGCTCAGCCCAACATGGAGTATAAAAATTTAACAACTAACAACAGAACTCTTTAACAGATTTAAAATCAATTTAATATTAATATAATACTTTTCTGTTGGAAATACATCACTACAAAAGCGTTTTTCTTTATAGATGACATCAGTTGAATTTGATTAAAACATGCATTAGAACAGAATGCACGTTCCTTCTTATTTTGAAATGTGTGTTTAGAATTATTTATTTTAGTTATGATATGTTTTTGAAACAATGTAATAGAGTTGGTGTTATGTCATTGCCTCATTCATTTTATCTAGCATACTTTTCGGAAGAAATCCTCTTATGTGACTATTTGAGGACATCCCCATTGGCTGTATTCCTATCAGGGGTATTGCTGAGGTAGAACGTATGTTTTCGGTGTCCATTGTGGTCTCATGGCTTGCCAGCAACTTCTCAGACTGCTGTTTTTATTGTGGCTTTCTTCCCAAAGCCATCTTTAAGTCCTGCAGTGGGCAAGTATAGGGATGATAAAAGAGGCTGATATTCTTAAATGTTGAAACTGTGGCAAACATTATTAGACATGATCATCTCTTGTTGAAGAGCAAAGAAAAATGAGAAGAACTGGAAAATCCATATCCTTCTAGAATGGAACAGTCTGTTGCACAATAGGTTTTCAGTGCAAGATTTTTTTTGGCAAATATATAGCTTGTGTAAAAAGTAACTTACTGGATAGTTGAGTGAATTAATTGTCCTTAAAGGAATCTTTATGTATTGTACTTCTAAATTTCTTGGTTCTTGAAAGACAGTTAACAAGATACTGTTACTCTGTTATTCATGAAAGTTAGAAAAAGTGCTTTCAGGCCAAAATGATCTTCTAATAACCTTACCTTTTGCAAAAAAAAGTGCAAGCTACATCAGTTTACTCTGGCATAAAGAGTCTGAGTGTTTTGTAAAGTCAATCCAAAAGAGGTAGGAGCCTTCACAGGGTCTTTAAACTTTTTTGCACTGGGGAAAGAATAAACAAACCTTGAAACACCTCTGGTCCCATCGTTTTGCAGGCATAATACTTCTGTTTTTTTGTGTGAGTTTTTATATTTGCAGTGAAGGTAAGCAGCTCTTGTTCTTTTAAATGGGTTAACTAACTGTACACTAAATTGGGATCAGAAGTGAGTTCTATATTCTTATTTATCAAAACAAATAGAACAAGTCCTCCAAGTGTAAAATAAATGCGCTTTGCTCATTTAGGAGTAATTTCCATCCTGTTGACCCACTTTCCTTAATATGCATTTGATAGCAAGGAATTTGGAGGGGTTGGTTTGTTTTATATATGTAAGCAGTCTTCTATTACATATATAAGGAAGATATTTATAAATAGCTCTAAAACTTAAGAGCAGTGCTTGGAAAACCTTTAGTATTTTCTGTTACATGAAAGGAGGGAGACTATCTTACCTGTAATGGGCCAACATTTTGGTACTTAGAGTTTCTAACAGAGACACTGTAATCTTCTTGTTTATAAGTATGTTTCAACGATGAAACATAAGTACAACCATCTCAGCAGAAGAAAGAAATTGGTTGTGAAAGGCCAGCAATGTGGTGTCCTATCTCTTTGGTACAAATAGTTTCAGGGTTTTTGGGCAGCGATCAGCAAGTAATAAAAAGTTTGTATTAAGAAAATGCATTGTATTTCTGTTTTTAATTTCACCTACTTCATACAACTACCTTCTCTTGGATCTGTTTTCTAAATTTATGCTTTGCTAAAGTTTAGATTATTCCATTTTTGCCCTTTAGTGCTTATTTCTGTAGTTATTTGGCATCCCTGCTGTTTACTTCCTCACTCCCAGACTCAAGAGATCCAGAAACCTCATTCAAGTGATCTTGAGTTTAGTGGGGCAAACTTAGCAGATACCTCTTCTCCAGAATCTCCCATGTGGTCTATTAAATTCAACCTGGAGTTTAGTTCACTGAATGTTTTTGTTATGGTTGTGGTTGTTTTATTTCTGTAGTTATTTGGCATCCCTGCTGTTTACTTCCTCACTCCCAGACTCAAGAGATCCAGAAACCTCATTCAAGTGATCTTGAGTTTAGTGGGGCAAACTTAGCAGATACCTCTTCTCCAGAATCTCCCATGTGGTCTATTAAATTCAACCTGGAGTTTAGTTCACTGAATGTTTTTGATATGGTTGTGGTTGTCATTAATTAAAAGACAGTGAGTAGAGACAACTATGATCTGGGATTAGAAAAGAATATTAGAAAAGAACATGGCAACAACTAAGAGAAAAATCAGTTAAAAAAATGTGAGGAGGAGGAGGTGTGTATGGAAACATGCCAGACTGAATGGAGGAGTCATTGTGGCGTTGAAGAGAAGCAACTGGAGTCAAGTGTAGTAAAGCCTAGAGCAAGACAGTAGAAGAACACTTTAAAAAAGCCAGAAGAAATCTTACTAGAACAGAATAATGTAGAAAAAGTAGAAAGAAAAGAACAAGTAAATCAACATGCTAAAAAGATGGCAGTACGAAAATAAGCATTAATGGAAAAAATAGGCTGCTATTAATCGTGCAGCAAAATTAGAATGAATTAAAAAAATCTTTAGACAGAGGGAATGGGAAGAGATGATGAAATAAGAGGTGAAAGAGGAGGGAAAAAACCCCCACTTAATGAATTAATAAAAACAAACGTAAAGCCAGATAAGAAGATCAGCAAGTCCTAGTGATCATGTTAAACACAAGCTCAAAAGATATTTCCAGTGGTTTACCTTTTCACTTGTTAAAACAAGTAGTTCAGAAAAAAATTCCTAATTATTTTATTATGCTTAATTAAAAAGTATAGTCCTACCTGTGGGTTGTTTTTTGGTTTGTTGTTTTTTTTTTATTTTTTTCTTTTTTCCAGCTTGGTTATTTTATATCTCTCATCCTGTTTCATACTTTACTTGTGGAAATGTATTTCATATTTCTCTATGTAGAATTTGTTGCACTGCAAGCAAGTGCATGTTTCATGAGTCAATGCTATGCAGAATATAGTCTCTGAGGTGACAGTTATGTAGAACTACTAAAGCATTTCTTATGTTTTATTTATTGTTCTATTTAGTAATGAATTTGCTTTGAAATCCCACAAATGAAAACAAATTTCAGTCATTTAGGGTTGTAGATAAATTTTTTTACATTTAATTTAATGAAAAGGGTAATAGAACGGAAGTTCACGCTGATCTCAATCTGCTTCGTAAAGCTTTTGCAGCTGCATAGATGATGACAGAAATCCCCCAGTGTTTCCACACCATGGAGATAGGGTGCTTTGCAGCCATCTGTAGAGTGTGATCCCATAATTTGCTGAGAATCCTCATTGGCAATTAATTTAATTAAGCAGTGTCTAGACACAGTTTGTGCGGTTGTTTTTTGCAAGCTCTTTTTCTAAATAGTTTTTAAATCGCACCTTTGGTGGAACTGAGGGAACTCTGTTGCTTTCCTACAAGTGCCTGTGGACCAGACCTTGAAGTTAGGGGCATTCAGCACCCAAAGGGATGCTTAGCACCTAGTGTTATTCAGTCTCTATAACAACAAATAGATATCGCATGAAGTAACTTCTAATATTATTTGTGTGTGCAACTCTGAAATGTCTTGAACATTTCTCCACATTGTATCTTGCTACAAAAATATCATTCTTCGGCTATGAGCTTTTATGCCAAAGATCCTCAGGGGACAAATGGAGGCTTGCACCACATGCAGATGACTGTATTAGTTTCTGTAAAATCCAAGAAAATTAATAAATAGAGTTTATTTTATAGCGCAGTAAATCTTTAATTTTTAAATAGTTCTAACTTTTGTTTCTTTTTTCTTTCAACTAAGGAAATGCTACTTCACCGCAAGTTCAAAGACCTTCTTTCATGGACTACTTTGATAAACAAGATTCTAAGAATAAAAGCCCTGAAAACTGTAATCAGAGCATGCATGAATCTTACCACATATCCAAAAACGTTTTCCCTGATAACTGGAAAGTCCCTCAAGATGGAGACTTTGATTTCGTAAGTACATTTTTATTGTTTACTTTCTTGCATACTGTTTATTTTATATGTGCCAAAAATAGTTAATCCCATTCTGTAACTATGTTAATACAAGTAAAATAAGTAAACTTTCAAGAATAGCATCCAATTATCTAATCTTAATGCCTCATCTTGGTTGTTGAAATAAGTACATTTGCTTAATGCAGGACCTTTTTAACGAGGAGTGGTATGTGATATTATGAATATACTTCTTTGTAACAACTTTTTTTAAAGTATTTTTGGTTCTTTATAATTTATGTGTTATAACAACTTTAAAATTTGACCCAGTTCTATTAAAAAAAAAAAAAAAATGCTACAGGCATGGAATATTGTTGTCATGTTTGCTGAGTATCTCAGTAAAATGATAAGCATTTTAAACTGGATTGGAGCCATTTAATCAATCTCCTTGGAGATGGTTAAGATCACCTACTGTTTTGCACAAGCCGGCTTGTTGGTACTATTCCAATAGCGCACATCTCTCTACATAGAATTATTCTATCTAACACCAATCTGTCTATTTTAGGGTGGGGTTTTTCCCCCTCCAAAATATGTGTAGTTGATTCTTTTTGCCTATGTTGCAAATTATAACAGGGGCAAAAAGAAAATGTTCCTAAGTTATAGGTTGCTCTTAAAGTGAAATAAATAATTACTGTTTCGAGACTTGTAGGTAATTATACCTGGTTTTCACCTTTGTTAATTTTTTTTAACTCGTTTGAATGAAAGAATTTAGTTTATCTGTTGTAGATTAAACATGTTCTTAACTGCAGTGCAGTAGCTAAATATGATCACATGCCACCTTTTTTAAAGTACACTTGGGATTTGGAGAAAAATGTTGTGTTTAATTTTAGGTGACAGCTGTAGGTGTGGGATTTTTTTCCCAGTTTTCTCTTACTGCATTTCTCTATAAAGCTGACTCTTAAATTTAAGCTACTGGAGTAAAGCCAGTTAAATAGCACAGTACAAGCTGTTGCTGCTGGAGAGTTTTGATTAAGTTGGATTTTGGTTTGGGTGGCGGTTTTTTAGGGTTTTGGTGGTTTTTTTTTTTCTTTGACCATAAAATGCAATAGTTATCAACCTGATAATTGACTAACAAAATAATTATTTGCACTGTTCATTGGAAAATAACTGGCCGTTATTTAAGTGGGGTGTTTATCGTGGCAATAAAATTGCCCTTAGAACAATTTAAAATTCATCCTATCTTTTCTATTACTTGTTAAGAAATGCAAGCAAAAATGATTCTTCTTGTAAATGCTAAGATCTTGATTCTGTAAGTGCTTATTCATGAATAATTTGCACATGGATAATCCTGTGGAACTTGTTGACGTTGCTTGTACATTTGAAGTTGCCTTCTTGAAATAGGAATTTGTCCTAGAACCAAACCTGAGGGGTTCTAATGTTCAGAAACTTACTGCTCTCTGTGTTGTAGGCAAACCTTGCTAGTGGTCTTAGACTGGCAAGTCGACTTCAGAATCATAGAATGGTTTGGGTTGGAAGGGACCTTTAAACGTCATCTAGTCCAACATCCCCCATGGGCAGGGACATCTTTCACTAGTTGCTCAAAGCCCTGTCCAGCCTGACCTTGAACACTTCCAATGATGGGGTATCCACAACTTGTTTGGGCAGTCTGTGCCAGTGTCTCATGGAAGGTACGTGAAGTGCAGTTTGTCCTTGACTTCCTAAAAAGGCGGTGTTGTAAGGCTTGTTGCTACAAAATGATTCTAATTGAAGACCAAATAGGATTTAATAGCTATTTGTATAGGCAGTGTATGTAGTTGGGGGGGCACTGGAGCAGATTTTGTTTTAAGCATGACAAAAGCCAAATACTGCCATAGATAAGCCAGCCTAAGAAAGAGTTTAGGAAGACTCTTCAATAATGGATGTACTGCTTCAGAGCAGTCCACTCAAGAATACATTTCTCTGAAGTGTCTGGTACCAGCTAATGTCACACAGGATATTGGTTTTAACAGTCTGCTGGTTTGAACCATAGGCAATTATTATTTATTTATATATTCTAGAAACACTTCTCTTTATATTTTAGCGAGTGTCAGTATTGGTAAGTGGCCTGCAGGAGACTTTCTGAAAGGATAAATCAGTGGGCAGCATGCATAATGTATTGTCTGCTCTTTGTAAGATCAACATGAATGTTTTCAGTTGCTGCCATGAAGTCTTTAAATGATTGATGAAAGGGATAAATAATGGAAACTTTTTGCACTAAATAATTCCATTCTATTTTGTTTGGAATTAGCCTTAATGGGATCTAGAAAGGCATCCTAACAGTAAATGCTGACAGTCATAATTTTATCTAAAAAAAGGGATTGATACACTAGCACTAAAATATAAGTGATCAAAATCTAACTTAATGCTAGAATACTCTAATAGTACTCCAACTTTCTATGTAGAAGAGGAGGGATGCTCTGTAAGTTGGAGGTCACCAAACTCATTTGCTGAATGATACCATTGTTCTTATTTACCCATATACCCTTGTAAGCTGTACATAGCATGCCAGTGCTGGCAGCCAACAAGTGTTTTACTTGTGAGCCAGGGCAGAATGACAGTGCCATGCGAAGAAGAGATATTCAAGTGTATCGAATGGAAAGACTTACAAGTTTATTAGTGTATGTGTCTGTTACAGCATAAGCTAGAGAAGCAGAAGTGCCACTGAGGTGGGAGGGAGAAGGGAACAGGAGGAAGAAACAATCCTTATAAATCCCTGCAACTAATCAGTTTGCTTATTTCTATGTATAAGGTGAGACCTGCAGAATAGGAAGCTAATTCTTGTGGCCAAATGGTGTATTTGCTTTAGGTCGCAGTGATATTTTATCCTATTCCTAGTATATTTTACTGTTTTATAAAACAATTCATAGTTATTTAATTTGTTTAACTATGCATATACATGTATGCAGATATAGCAGTTAGTCTTACACACTTGCTACTGTTTTTAGATAATGCTAATAAATGATACAGGAAACTTTTCTCATAAGGTGCATAAATGAATGTATAAAATAACGCAAAATGAACTTAGCACTAAGTCTGGTTTGAAAGTTCTTGTGTGGGCATAGTTTTCTGCCCTGACGTAAATGTTTTAAAAACTCCTTGCCAGTGAAAATAGATGGAGAAGACTTTTCCAAGAAAATGAGATGCTTTGGTCATCAATCTGAGATTTAAAAAAAAAAAGTAATTTTAGCAGCATTTTTTCTTCTGTAATTACATATTTATGCTTTGTTTTTCATTGTTGAAGTACATCTGTTTTCAAATTCAAAAGCTGATCTTATTTCTTTTTCACTAATGCCATACGGGAATTTGAGATCCATCTCTGACTGTTGGTCCTGCGGGCCTTCAGTTCCGTGATCAATCTGTGCTGGTTATTGATGTAATGTTCCATGAGTTGATGAGAAAAAATTGCCACTGCAGTTTTGCATTGTATTGAATCAGGTATATTGCGAATAACTTCTAACTAGACTTAATTCTGGTACTGTATAGTCACCTTGAATATTACATTATTCCAAATTTACCCTGTTACGTATGCTTCAGGACTAAGGTGCTGTTTTCCATGCGTAAGAGGTGTTTGGGGTTTTTATACTACATTTCTTTTTGCTTTTTAAAAAAAACCAAACAACCCCAAACATTTTGAACATCTGTTTTTTCTGTGACTAGGAATTTGTATAGGGTTGCTTTTTTTGATCTTTGTTTTCAATTATTTTGTTGTCTATTTTTGTTGTCTCATGATAAATTCTGAAAACCATATGTATGGGTCTTTTATATCAGTGAATCTTAGAGAAACGTATTTCTGGGGAAGTACTTGTAAATGTTTTGGTTTGGTTTTTTCCACTTCAGCCTTTGAAACGGAAGTCTTGAAGCTCTGATTGGATATAAATCTTAGAAAAAACAAACTAGTGTTTATTCAAACTTCAGCTTTTATATTAAACTGTTAATATGTATTTCACACTCAAGGATCGTAGTGGATTTTTGTTTTCAATGAATACTATCAGACTATAGGCAATTCTTTTACACATTTACATTATTTTTAAGGGGCATGCAGCAGATGGCACATTAAAGCAATATTTTTAGCCCTAATTCTGTCAGTTTTACTTGGGGTTAAGTGATGTTTTATTCACAGCAAACCTTGGTGCCAGAGGTCTAATCAACAAGATACTACTCATTGTGAGGAAAAGCGGCATAGTATCTTTGAATAAGTAAAGATGTGGTAAAGCTATATAGTGTACGGGTATGATATTCATAGAAATGTTAATGATGCATGGTATAAGCAGCTTTTCATAATAAAGCTTAACTGTTTAATGGGCCAACTTTCAGTCTTAGCTCACAAGTCAGCAGTTTGGATCAGAGTTTCCAATTAGAGCAAATGATGTGTTTGTTTTGACCATCTAAGTGACCAGTCCTTTTAAGAACAGTTGTTTTTTATGGATATTATGTATTCGTATGACCATGTTGCTATTGTAATAGCTTTGTTCTTTCCATGGGGAATGTTTTCCATGAGATATGTACAGGCTTGAGAGAGCTGTGTATTAAATGAGCAGTATAACTGCAAGGTGGTGTTGAAGCAGCTTGCTCAAATTTCTTTTTGTCTTTCACAGCTGAAGATTTTATGATATTTTGTGTAGCATTTATCATGGGCATTGTAGAATGGCATATTATTTATGGGCATTGTAGAAGATAGTGAACTTTTAATAAGCAAGAAGTGCTCGAAATTTTTATCATGTGGGGAAAACCAGGTAAATCTTGGCTTGTTAGATTAATGTGCTATGTGTAGATGTTGTTAAATAACCTGCTGCTTACATTTTTACTGTATTATGACATTTTACATCTCATTAAGATATAAAATTGCTCTGTAAATCCTTCTACCCCTTAGTAATGTGTGTTAGTGTGGGACACAAGGTCAACAAAGGATTTACATGAACTACAGTGAAGTGATATCTAATTGATGATAACCTGTGAATTAACATTACTCAGAATGAGTTGCTAAA